CCCCACACTTTCTTTTCTCCTTTGCACGTCACGAGCTCATAGCATGATGATCTTATTTTCCCTTTATCGCAACCTTTCCTTTCCGACCAGTTTATTATAGTATAATTATACCTTTACTAACCAGCTCCCCTGCCCCTTCAGTATCCTGGTTTAACTTCATTTCCGTTGACCCCGTATTTAATTTTTTTGAAAGAACGTTTAATGAGCTGCATGAAAATCTGATCAGACTGACTTCTACTCACGCCCTTTTGTTCTGATTATGTACAGCACTGTAATCATATTATTTGCTTCAGTATGATGACGCTGATGATAATGATGATGATGATGATGATGATGATGATGATGATGATGATGATGATGATGATGGATGATGATGATGATGATGATTGTTTTGGCGCTGCCTATCAGGAAGTCCGGTATCAGCTACCACAAAGTAAACTATGTCAGACGTTCAGAACTCGAGCTCCTGGTTATTCTGTTGATATCCATCTCGGATGAAGACAGACTTAAGAAAAGCGCCCTTAATCTAAAAAGTTTTCCCCATGACTGCCTGGATCATAGAGTCCCTCCATCCCTTGAGACCAAAAGCTGCCCCGCTCTATATCGCCAAAGAAAAGCAAGACATTTTACATCCGTCTGTGTGGTGTGAACGTAGGACTACTGTAACGCCCTTCGCCTCTCCACCACCCTTGATGCCTGGGTTACCAGAACTTTCCTCGGAATTTACTTGTCTGCACCTCTCTGTACCCATTTAGGGTTTGCGTTAGAAAAAATCACAAAAAGGACCCCTCCCCCTTTTGTCACCACAAAAAGACACACAAAACCCCCCACAAAAAACAAACAAAGGAAACAAAAAACAAAGCTTTAACTTTACGAAAATGGGAGTTGCTTGGATTGTAGATTGCAAACGAATCAAGACTGGTGAGGGATATAGGGGGATTATTTAAGAAAAAAGGAAAAAAAGTAGTATCAAATACTTCTTTTCTTCACTTTGGAATTGAACTCGTGCCTGATAAAAAGACACAAACCCTGGGATTTCAGTCCGGAGTCTTTAGGAGAGAGATTCAGATCTCAATGACGCCAGCAAAAACCCCAGAGTTTTCAGCAGAAATCCCAGTTACAAACCAAACGTTTTCAGTGGTCTACTTAAATTTGCGGAGCTTTAAACCTGCGCCATGAAGAGGGGTTATGGTGACAGGCACTGCATAGCACAACAAAACAAAAACCCAAAACAAAAAACATAACATATTAACTGAACACTCAATAAAGCGATCTCCGCTATAAAGTGCCAATGTGAATAAATGCTTTGAACACATCCCTAGTGAATACATTTCATTCACCGATATTTCACAATGATCTTTGAATGTGGACACACTTCCTGTTTCTATTAACACTTTAGACGTGTCGGCTTTTATCCCTTAACAGATATATTTACCCAACTCTCACAAAAGCCCTGACAACACTTCCCAAGAAAAGCTCGAAGGTGGATCAATACTTTTGAATTCGCTGAAAACCGAAGGATTTTCTCGAGGGCCACATGGATCCCTAGATAGTGTTCCCATGCGGCGTGAAACCTCTCACTCCATTACGGACAAGAAAAGAAGCATCGTTGCCTTTGCACGGATTACACTCAACAGAACGTCCGCGAGAAATGAGACTGTGTCGGAAAGTTATGTATCACTGGGTATTTCTTTTCAAGTAAATTCTTCAGGGATGCCTGA